GACTGGTGTGGTTAGCAGTGTAGGCAGAGAGCAGTGCCCAACAGATGTATTTTGAAGAGATGGCAGATAGGATTTGCCAGTGGATTGGACGTAATGCCTGAGAGGGGAGTCAAGGATGTTTCCAAGGTGACTGGCTCCGCCCCCTGTAAGAGTGGATTTGGACATTCCTTTCAAAGAGATGGAGAAGACTGCAGGAACAACACTTTGGCGCTGGTGGTCAGTTGGGCAGTGAGAATTGGAAATTGAGAGTTCTGTTTTGGACATCTTAAAGATGAGGTGCCTATGATACATCCAAGTGGAGATGTTAAGTAAGCTCTTGGATATAATCATATGGAGTTTGGAGCTGGAGATAAATTTAGGAGTCATCGGTGTATAAAAGGTACTTAAACTCATGAGAGGATGAAATCACCTAGGAAGTGGGGAGGAAGATAAAAATGCAGGAACTAATCCTTGGAACTCTTAAATGTGTAGAGACTGGAGAGATGAGGACCTAGAGAAAGGAAGTCAATGAGATAAGTGATTAAGAAGAGTGATGCGGGACTTCCCTGGTGATGCAGTGGATAAGAATCTGCCTGCCAGTGCAGGGGACACGGGTTCAATCCCTGGTCTGGGAAGATCCCACATGCCGCGGAGCAACTAAGCCCGTGCAACACAACTACTGAGCCTGTGCTCTAGATCCCGCGAGCCACAATTACTGAGCCCTCGTGCCACAACTACTGAAGCCCACGCACCTAGAACCTGTGCTCCACAACCACAACAAGTGAAGCCACCGCGATGAGAAGCCCGCGCACTGCAACAAAGAGTAGCCACCGCCGGTGCAACTAGAGAAAGCCCGTGCACAGCCACAAAGACCCAACGCAGCCATACATACATACATACATACATACAGACATAATAAATTTTTTAAAAAAGAAGAAGAGTGATGCCAGACAAACCAAGTGAAGATCTTTCTTGGAGGGGAAAGTGATCCACCTGTGTTGAATGCTGTTGATAGGTCAAGGAGGATAAAGATCGAGAACTGACCATTGGATTCCATAACATGGATATTACAGGTGACCTTTACAAGAGCTGTTTCAGTGGAGTGGTGAGGATTAAAGACTGGGTTAGATCCAAGAGAGAATTCAAGGAGGGGAAGTAGAGATAGCAAACAATTTTTTTTTGAGGTCTTTTTAAAGGGAAGCAGAAAAACGGAGCAGCTGTCAGAGGGGGATGAAAAAATTCTTATGGACTGATCTGTGTTCCCTGCAAATTCATAGGTTGAAGTCCTAGCCCCCAATGTGACTGTATTTAGAGACAGGGCCTTTAAGGAGATAATTAAGGTTAAATGAGATCATATGGGTGAACCCTAATTCAGTAGGATTGGTGTCAATAAGAAGAGGGAGAGACATCAGGGATGCATGTGCAGAAAAAAGGCCACGTGATGACACAGGAGAAGGTGGCCATCTGCAAGCCAGGGAGAGGCCTCAGGAGAAACCAACCCCGCTGGCACCTTGGACTTCCAGCCTCCAGAACCGTGAGAAAAGAAATTTCTGTTGTTCAAACCACCCAGTCTGTGGTATTCTATATGGCAGCCCTAGAAGTCTCATACAAAAATCAAGGGAAATTTGTTTTTTAAGATAGGGAATATTGTAGCATGTTTATTTTCTGAAATTAGCAATCCAGTAGAGGGGGAAATTACTGGAGCAACGTTCCTGCGTTGTAGAGATGGAATGAGAGCTCATCTAAAAGTTTGCTTTTGATAGGCATATAGGTAGATTTGTAGATATGGTGGGAAGGTCAGGAAATTCTCTTCTGAATTCTTTTGTTTTCTTGGTGAAATAGGAAGCAAGATCATAAGTGGAGAGGGGAAGTGCAGTACAAATTGCAATTTGAGGAGTAGAAAGTAGGAAATATAATTGTCTAGGAGAGTGGAGAATAAATGGACTAGAGACATGTCAGACTAGCGGGCAACGCTAAGAGCCCATCAAGATCAGTGGTCATAGATTTAAAGGGAGACTAGTCATCATACGTTCGTGTTTTTCTCCAGGATCATTCAGTTGGGTTAGATGGAGACCTGGATCTAACCTGGGGTTTTGCCAGGCAAAAAGGACAGAGGGAGACTACATGCAAGAGTGCGATGATGCTCTGTAGAGTCTAAACTGAGTGAGGATGAAGGAAAGGACATGAGGCGGGGGAGGGGAATAGTGGGAAGGTGGTCACTGCACTGGGGATTCTAGGGAGGAAGAAGAATTAGTAGAGTCAGGTGGGTGAGCTGGAAAGATGGGAGGTCGTGGTTGCAGGACGCTTGAAATTGAGATTATGCAGAGGGAGCAGCTGGAATCGAGGTATAGGGTATGACTGACTGCTGCGTGAGGGGAAAAAAGAACATTAGAGTCATGGAGTTAAGATGTCTTCGTAGATATTGAATTATTCTAAGACTGATGAGGAGTAGTACTGGAGTAGCAGCAAGTTTGGTGCTAAAATCTTCAAGGAAAAAGGGGGAATGCCTCGGGGCTCTGTGGATGGCTGAACCACGTAGGGGTAACAGCTTGCATAAAGGCCTGAGCTTCAAGGCTGGCCATTTTTAAAGGAGGCGGAATAATGGGCTAGAATGGGATTTCTCGACAGCAGCGCTATTAACACTTCGGACTGAATAATTCTTCATTGTGGGAAGCTGGCCAGAACTGAGCATAAGCAGCATTTCTGACTTCTACCTAAGAGATGCTAGTGGCAGTCTGCCCCCAGCTGTGGCAAGGAAAAATGCCTGAGACTTTCCTAAACATCCTTGGGGGACAAATTCACATCAGTTGATAACGACTGATCTTAAAGCAGCAGTGCTGAGCTAAAGGACTCCTACCTGACCTCTGGGCCCAGTTATTATGAAGAGTGAGGAAGAGCAAATAATAATTTCAGAGGGTTACAGGGCCATCAGGGTCTTCTGGGAATATCAGATTTTGGTCAGAGAGAGGGCTGAAGGGAATCTTTCCAGAAAATATAAGTAAATATCTTCATATTTACAGCTACAATGTAGCTCACGTCTGTCAGCCTTAAGGAGGAAGTGTTTCCAGGATGACCTGACTGTGTTTTGTCTAATTATTTCACTTCCTTTGCCTGACCCAATTCACCATTCCAATGAGTTACTTCTTAATGGATCTTACATTGCAGATTTCAATAATTATATTTAATACATGCTGAGTTTTTGCTATAGAAGAAATCAAGTGTCCCAGAAGAATACACAAACTATATACAGTGAAGACCACGGCAGGGCTGGGGCACCAGTGCTGTGTACTTCCTCTCCCAAGAATCCTCTTCAGTTAAGCAGCCATGCTCTAGGAGTCAAAGCTTCTAGTTAACTTCCTGGGTATACAGACAAAACTGAAGACGGTTCTTTCAAAGACAAAGAGGGTGAGAGATGTGAGGACGATGAAGGTATCTGGATCGCCTGGAATGAGTACATCTGCCAGGAATTTATGAGGTCCTATTTCAACAGCATTCCCCTTTATTTACTGACTACGCGTCTGCCCCTGACCAAACAGTCATCTTCTAGGCTCTGGGGTTGTTAGATGAACATGGTGTAGAGGGGAAGTAGCAGACCTCCACCTAAACAGCAATATCACATTATAATCCATTTAAAGTGTGCTAGCAACAAGTGGATATGAGGAAAGGAGGTTTTTATTCTCTGAGGGAAATATCTAAATAACACGTAGCTCAGGGAGAAATAAGAAAGGTACACATCAAAAAGTGAACTAAATTACCCCTGTGAGCGCTAAATTCCAATGGCATGGGTACCTCCATGTCTGTACAAAACAGAAAGGAGCCTCCTTGGTACAGAAAGGACATTTTTTTTTTTTTTTGAGGGGGTGATACAAAGTTTATTCAGTTAGATTTTCCTGTTTACAACTGAGATCACATCTACATACTATATTGCTAGTCTACGTGAGTACATTATTTCTAACGAGTTTATTAGACTTACGATGAGTGGGCTCAGTAATACAAAAACATGCACACACTGACACTGTTTTAAAACAGCAATGCAGGCTTCCCTGGTGGCGCGGTGGTTAAGGGTCCGCCTGCCGATGCAGGGGACATGGGTTCGTGCCCCGGTCCGGGAAGATCCCACATGCCGCGGAGCGGCTGGGCCCATAAGCCATGGCCGCTGAGCCTGCGCGTCCGGAGCCTGTGCTCCGCAACGGGAGAGGCCACAACAGTGAGAGGCCTGCGTACCGCAAAAAAAAA